ATATGCACAATGGAATTCTATGCCTCCATCAGAAAGAATGACATTGCTCCATTTATTAGGAAATGGAAAGACTTGGCAAAAATTATATTGACAAACGTTTTAAAATGAAGATACATGTATGTGCGATTTAGATTTATGTAGATACATATACAAACTTTAAAAACAGCTCATTTTCCATCGAAAAATATAGACTCAATGTAGCCAATATTTATTGACAATAAGACATTAAGATAACCATTTAATTACAAGATGTTAAATCAAAGTCATAGAAGAAGTGAACTGTTCAAATGGACAGATGAAACTGGTATAACAACAACAACAATAACCTCAGAGGGTCCTCATGAGAATTTCTTATGTCAGGCACTAATATTTTTCACATAATAAGAGCTATGTATGTCATCTTTGTGATAATCATTAAATTTTGTTCTTAAGAGGAAATTAAATGGTTGGATAAGTAAGTCAGAAATGATGTTTAAGAAAACAGTTAAGCTGCCTGTTCAGAGAATTAGCCTTTTTATTTTGCCAGTGCTGGGGCTTACACTCAGGGCCTGGGCGCATCCCAGAGCTTCATTTGCTCAAGGTTAGCACTCTTACCACTTGAGCCACAGCACCACTTCTGGCTTTTTCTGTGTATGTGGTACTGAGGAATAAAACCCAGGGCTTCATGCATGCTAGGCAAGCATTCTACCACTAAATCACATTCCCAGCCCTGGAAAATTAGCCTATAAAGGACAAATAAGTCATATAATTTTAGGGGTACTATAAATTGTTGGCTAAAATCACTTTATCTTATACACATTTGTATTTCTATTTAGTGTATTACACAGCTCAGATTCAATGACTAGAAGCTGAAAGACTTGGTAAAGAAGCTAAACTTCAGCTGGGCGCCGGTGGCTCACGCCTGTAATCCTAGCTACTCAGGAAGCTGAGATCTGAGGATCTCGGTTCAAAGCCAGCCCAGGCAGAAAAGTCTGTGAGACTCTTATCTCCAATAAACCGCTAGAAAACCAGAAGTGGTGCTGTGGCTCAAGCGGTAGAGCTCTCGCCTTGAGCTGAAGAGCACAAGGACAGCACCCAGGACCAGAGTTCAAGCCCCACGACAAAAAAAAAAAAAAGAAGCTAAACTTCAATGAACTCTAATTTCAAGGAATTATAGTAACTGACCCAGGCATGTGCCTGATGATCAAAATAGTAGTATAAGAATTATACAAAGACTTTTCATAATGACTCAATGTCTTGTCCCATCAGTATTAGAAGTGTGGGTAAGGGGCCAAGTTTACATGTGTGTATATTTGGTAATTTACCTGTCTCTGCATGTCTTAATAAATTCAGAAACATATCAAATGCATTTATTTATTTTTTGGCAGTATTAGGGATTGAAGTACTAGTGCCTAGTAAGACTTATGCTTACTAAGCAGGTACTCGACTACTTGAGTCACACCCAAGACTTTTTGCTTTAAGTTATTTTTCAGATATTGTCTCATGCTTTTTGCTTGGGTCAGCCTGAATCTCAGTTCTCCCAAACTCTTCATTCTGAGAATTGGAATTACAGATGTGAGCCACCACACCTGGCCCTAAAAATGTTTAAAAATTCCTGCTTTTAAGCTAGGTTCAATGGTTCACACTTGTAATTCTAGCTATCAAGAAGCTGAAATTGAGTGGACTAAGATTTGAAGTTAACCCTCAGCAAAAAGTTCACAAGATTCCATATCAACCAATAAAAAGCTGGACATGATGGCATGCAACTGTCGTCCCACCTATGTGGGAAACAAATAGTAGGATTGAGTTTCTTGCCAGCCCGGGAACAGATGTGAAATCCTATTGAAAAAGTAGCAGAAGGGGCTGAGAAGGTGGCTCAGTGGTAGAGTGCTAGCCTTGCATGCATGAGGCCCTGGGTTCGATTCGTCAGCACCACATAAACAGAAGAAGCTGGAAGTGGTGCTGTGACTCAAGTGGTAGAGCGCTCACTTTGAGCTGAAGAGCTGAGGGACAGCGCCCAGGCCTAGAGTTCAGGCCCCACGACCGACAAAAACAAAAAACAAAAAGAAGAAGCTCAGAGTCAGTGTCCAGGTCCAGCCCTGCCCCCCCCCCAAAAAAAAGTAGCAGAAGTAAAAAGAGTCAGAGGTGTAGCTCAAGTAGTATACCAGGAGCCTAGCTATTGCAAAGCTCTGAGTTTAAACCCCACTGTCATAAATCACAGTAAGTTAAAAATAATCATTGCTTCAAAATGAGTGGAATGATGATCACTATCAACTGTAGTTGTCTCAAATTGTGTCCCAAAGATTAAAAAAGTAGAAGGCGAAGAGAGTTTAACCTACCTCTCTCCTTGCAAAGGACGAAAAGGAATTCAGCAGCAATTTGCTTGACTCCAAGGTCAACATGTGTCATGAGGCGCACCAGCTTATTTCTCACAGTTGAGCCAACTTCAGGTCGATTTGTCACGTCCCTCAAAGGAGGTAAAACCTGACGGCACAAATGAAAAACCCATTATCAATGACGGGGAAGTAGAACGAGGATGGTACCATACAACTTACCAGTCTTGCAGTGTGTACTGGGTTTAGTTTGGTAAAACTAAGACAAGTTAAAAATAAATACAGGTTAGCACTAAAATTAAAACAAACAGAAACACACAGTTTTCCGGTCATTTCATGGTAATACTGAGGTTCCATTAGACCAGATACCTCACTCGTATGTGCCACCAAGTTCTCCTAAAAGCATTTCTAGATTTTCAATTAATACCTGCAATACCTCTTCGTGAGCCCATAAAAATTCATTTTAATATCTGTGTTGTTTCTCTTTCTTCCATAGTTGCCCTTAATACAAAATAGTTTCTTCCTTTTTTTTTTAGTCTGAGAAGATTTTCAGTTGTTTATAAACATTTTTGTGCTTGGGCTTACAAGATATTTAATTTTATGATAAAAGTCACTATTATGGATTGAGCATCCCTAACCTGAAAATCTAAAATGCTCCAAAATCTGAAGGTTTCTTTTCTTTTTATTTGTTTTTTTTTGTTTTTTGTCGGCTGTGGGGCTTGAACTCTGGGCTTGGGTGCTAACCCTGTGCTCTTCAGCTCAAGGCGAGTGCTCTACTGCTTGAGCCACACAACCACTTCTGGTCTTCTAGTGGTTAATTGGAAATAAGAGTCTCACAGACTTTTCTGCCTGGGCTGGCTTTGAATGGTGATCCTCAGATCTCAGCCTCTTGAGTAGCTAGGATTACAGGCTTGAGCCACAGGTGACCGGCCTGGGTGGGGTTTTAAAACCATTTATCAATTTATTAAAAATTAAAGAATAGAGTTTACCTAAGTATAAGTACTTGCTGACCAAATAAGTTCTCTTGTTATTTGGCATTTTCTGACTTTCATGGTTCAGACAGCATTAAGAAAGTACAAAACATATTTATGAAGGAAAGTCTCTGTACTTTTTTTTTCTTTCCTTTTTTCTTAAAATTTTAGTCTCTGTACTTTTTAGAAAGCATTCAAGTAAATTCTTACATGGGCAGGATTTTGGGCACTATTTTTTTTTTTAAAGCAGACATGATGTCTCAAATGGAAAATTCCACATATAAATACATATTACGTGACAGATGGCAGTCAAATGAAGATACAACAAAAATGTTGTATAAATTACCTTCAGGCTATGTTTATAAAGTTTCTTTTTTTTTCTTTTTTTTTTTTTTGGGTCCGGTCGTGGGGCCTGAACTCTGGGCCTGGGCGCTGTCCCTCAGCTCTTCAGCCCAAGGCTAGCACTCTACCACTTGAGCCACAGTGCCACTTCCGGCTTTTTTCTTATGTGGTGCTGAGGAATCGAACCCAGGGCCTCGAGCATGCAAGGCAAGTGCTCTACCACAGAGCCACATTCCCAGCCCTGTTTATAAAGTTTATATAATACACAGTGAGTTTCTGTTTAGAGTTGCACCCCACTGCCAAGATATCTTATTTCGTATCTATACAAATACAAAATCTGAAAAGATTCTAAACCTGAAACACTTCTAGTGCCAAGTTGTTTTGAATAAGAGATATTTAATCTGTAATTAATGGGTATTTTATACGTGCCAGTTGCTATGGCACATTATTTACAGTGCTCACAGTAACCCTGCCAAGAAGGTAGTAACATGACTCATGTCTATAACCTTCAAGGGTTAATTTAATGTAAGTTGTTTAGTTTGTTTCTTTGCTCACTCATTTGTCCATCCATATGCCAATACTCTGTCCCTGACTAGTTGCTTTGTCTCAGTCACTTTTGCTAATTCTTTTCTCTTTCTGTCTTACAAATGGTGGAATATGCAAGGACAGAATTCTTTAGTAACTTCCCCCCTTTAAGGAGTCAATTCAACATGTCAGTTTATAAGCATACTGCAACTTATTCAGTGAATTTTTCTTTATTATGTCTATTCCTACTACTGTGGTCTCATTCAGTTTTATGGCTTTATACAGTGTTTGCAATCTGCATTTCCAAATTGTATGTCCTATTGATTTCTTTCCTGATATTGAGAGCTTTTTATTTTAAATCACTGAATGGAGTTGAATTATAATATTTTACAAGGGACTATAGAAAATAATAGATTAAAATAACAACAGAAGGGGGGGAGGATTGGGTGGGGGGGTGGGAGGGGGAGGCTGGGAAGGGATGTGAAGGGTAAACAAAGGAGGAGGCTGCAATGCTTGATAAGAAATGTACGCATTATCCTGCCCATGTAATTGTAACCCCTCTGTACAGTATGTTCACACACAAAAAAATATATATATATAAATAACAACAGAAATTATATTAAAATGGCTTGTTTCCATTTTAATTATATCTATAGGTGAGTGTACACAGAGAATATTTGACATAACACAATATTCAATATGCTGCCACCTCACTTACAGGCTGATTCCAGGGCAAATCAAAATCAAAATGTCATGAAATCATCTCTCTAAACTTCACATTAATGCTTCTCAAGACTGTGCTTGCCAAGTAAATAACCATGGATCTTCTTAAAATGCCAATTCTGATTCAGTCTAGTATTTACCTGTGATTTTGTGTTCCCTTTCTTTAATCTTCTTGGCAATTTTTTTTTCTTCTGCCAGTCCTGGGCCTTGAACACAGGGCCTGGGCACTGTCTCTGAGCTACTTCTGCTCAAGGCTAGCACTCTACCACTTGAGCCACAGCGCTACTTTTGGCTTTTTCTTTTTATGTGGTACTAAGGAATCAAACCCAGGGCTTCATGCATGTTATGCAAGCACTTCACCATTAAGCCAAGTTCCCAGCCCCCTTCTTGGCAAATTTTTATGCACACAACTGAGTGTATACTATAGGTGCTATGCTGTACAGATCTGCAGACTATAATCATTTTATATAAATGAGCTTTTATTCTTATTGGATAGTAACTGCACTTTCTCCCTGATTCCTTAGTAAGCAATATTCTACTCTGCTTCCAACTTCCAGACTTTAAAGCGTCTCACAACTGGCATGTTCTACATGGAACTCTTACCAACAAATCTGCTCTTCCTACAGTTTTTCATCTCCTTAAATATTAAAAGTTTACTTTTCTAACTGCTAAGTACAAGAACCTTAGAAATACCCTTGACTCTTCTTTTTTTCTTTTTCCCCACATTTATTCATCAGCAAATTATGTTGGCTGCATTTGAGAAATATACCCATGATCCAACTACTTTTTACTGGCTCCCCCAGTATTACCAAATCCAAGCTACTAGTATTTTTTTTTTTTTTAGATTCACTCACTGCAGCCTGTGAAATGGTCTTATGCTTCCATCCTGGTCCTCTATGATTTATTCTTTTTTTGGGGGGGGGTCCGGTCGTGGGGCCTGAACTCTGGGCCTGGGCGCTGTGCTGCAGCTCTTCAGCTCAAGGCTAGCACTCTACCACTTGAGCCACAGCACCACTTCCGGCTTTTTTTTTTCCTTTTTGCTTATGTGGTGCTGGGGAATCAAACCCAGGGCCTCATGCATGCAAGGCAAGCACTCTACCACTGAGCCATCTTCCCAGCCCCGATTTATTCTTTACACAGTAGCTAGGATCGTCTTTTGAAACTCAGATTCCTCCAGTTCTCATGACTTCTCATCTTACAGTAAGAGGCAAGGTTCTCACAACTTCCTTAACAAGGGTCCATATAGTCTGGCTTTCTGTTACTGCTCTGAATTAGTTTCTACTATAGCCACCTAGTAACTATTCCATGGAGTTCCTTAAACTTTCTCTCCTCATGTCCTTGCATTTGCTTCCATTTGCCCAGAAACTCTCTTTCTAAAACTATGTGTATGATTCTTTTTCCTACTTCCTTTAGGTCTGTTTAAATGTCATTTACAAAAGATATTGTCTGACTGCCCCTTCACTAGCCTTTAGCATCCTCTTTCTCCCCATTTCCCCCAACTATGACCACCACTTGACATAGTAAATACTTATTGATTTACTGTGTACTTCTTTTCACAGAAATTTCATTGGTACAGATAGGTATTTTTTGCTTACTGTTCTCTTCCCAGTGCCCAGATATTACAGGTGCTCAATATATTATTTCTTGACTGGAGGGTAAACAAATCAATTCAAATATTTTTATTAAGGATTCTGTTACTATGTTTTCTATTACTGTAAGGAAATAATTGAAACTGGTTAACTTTATGAAGAAAGGAGGTTTATTTTGTTCATAGTTCTGGAGGTACAAAACCCAAGATCCACCCTCATGGCTCAACTTCTGTTAAGTGCCCGTATTATAACATGGAGGAGGGTATGCTGGAGGAGGGCAACCATGTTATGAAACAGAAATTCAGTGATTTAAAGGCTGGGCTTCTATAATAAATTGTTTTTGCAAAAACTCAAGGATCCTACAAGTGCTATCTTACTCCCTTCAGAGGGATAATTTAAGGATCTAAGGATCTTCCTCTTTTTTTTTTGTTCCTAGAAGCTGTCCCTGAACTTTGACGCTCAAGGCTACACTCTACCACTTTGAACCACAGCACCAGTTTTCTGGTGGTTAATTGGAGATAAGAGTCTCATAAACTTTCCTGCCTGGCTGGTTTCCAACTGTGACTTTCAGATCTAAGCCTCCTGAGTAGTTAGGATTACAGGTGTCAGCCACCAGCATCTAGCTTGAGGCTCTACCGCTTATAAAAGGTTCATATCATCTCCATTTTCAGGACCAAGATTCCAATACATGAGCTTCTGGGTGTCAAATGACATCCAAACCATAACAAGTGCTTTCTGCATAAACAGGCCCGATGTGATCCCCTTGATAGGAAGGTTGATTTGTGTAAATTTCTGTATTATACCTTAAGCTATGGTTGAGTGTGCCCCCTTCAAGGGTTTATGTAATTGAGATCTTGGTTCCTCAGGTACTGGCAACAGTAGGTGATGAGAGCCTGAAGTGGTGGGGGTTAGAGAGCAGTCCTTAGGTCACTGAAGAACTGACCTCAGAAGGCATTAGGATACCTTGAGCTCTCACAAGAGCAAAGCCAGCTCAAAGCAACTCACCCTCTGGCTTTCTAGCTTGAAATATGGTTTCCATCTTCTGCCATATGCCATGTAGTCTTCACCAGAGCTAGGCCAAGGCTAATAGTCTTGCCCTTGCATCTCATGCCTAAATAAATCTGTTTTCCTTATAAAGTCAACTTGCCTTTGATGTTTTATTATAGTAATGAAAACCAGACTAATTAGGAGAAAATTACCACCAGGAATAAGGTTGGTACTATAACCAGCCCTGAAAATGTGGACAGCTTTGAAACTGGGTGATAAGTAGAGATGGAAGTTGGTAGGGGCAGACTAAAAAGCCTAGAACGCTATAAGCAGTGTTATAGGAGATTCTAGTGAGGGAATCTGAAGAGGAAGAGACTAGGGAAGTAATTTCAAATGGAAGTAAGAATCTCTTGGGAAACTGGAAAAAAAAAAGGCCATCATTTCTAGACCTTTGGAAAAAAGTTAATTGTACTGTGTCCATGTTCCACAACTTTGTAAAAGCTAAATAATATTAAGAATAATAGACTAGTTTGTGTGGTAGAATAAATTTCAAAACAACAAAGCATTCAGAATAGTAGTCAGATTTAAAGCAGGGGTTGTTAGCCAAAGGAAACAAAAGTAGAAAAATTCGGATTCACAGCCCAGCCAGGGAAGGAACAAAGAAAGAGCAAGTAACTGTGGCTAAGGAGGGCAAAGCAGAGCAACTCCTTGCTAAGGAGATTAGCAAGAATGCTGACTGTTAGGAATGGAAAACAGTTTAGAGGGCATCTCTCAAATCTTCCAGGCTACCACAGGTGCAGAGAACTTCCAGGGTGGAAGTATCTTAGGGACTGAGCTAGGGTGTTCTTTACTTCTTTGCCACCCCAGTTCACCTCAGGATTCATTTCTATGTTCAAATGGAGAAGAATTCTGGCTGCAACAGTGGTTCAAGCAAGTTTAGGCACAGCCCATGCCAGCTGTACTTTTCTGGTTTCAATATGGTATTGGCTCTGCAAGAATTATGGGATCATGCAGCTTCCACTAAGGAAGGCCTGGAGGCCAAGCAGAAATTTGCTACAGGCACAGGTGGAGCGGGCAAAATGAGATGGAGCTGTGGTAGAATTGCAGCAGGGACCCCAGATAGATAATATCCAGAAATATGTCACTTACCCAGAAAACCCTCCAATACTAGGAGACAGTCATGTGAGCTATGACCAGCAAAGCTGTAATGGTGGAAATGACCAAGGTCTTGGGGACTCATCTCTCACCAAAAAATAGCTAGATCTGGAGCTTTAACATTTAAAGCTCCTGCTGGCTTCTACTTGCTTTGGACCAGTTCCCACTTAGTACTTATCTATTCTGCTCTTTAGGAATGGAAATGTATAACCTGCTTCTGTTCTACCACTGTACACTGGAAAATTTTAACTTATTTTGGTTTTGTGCTAGAAGTCTGCCTTGGATAAGACTTTATACTTTTTTCTTTTGATATTAAGTTTGAACTTAGGGCCTCATACTTGTTAGGCAGGACACTCTACCACTTGAGCTACACCCTTCAGACTTTTTTTGTTTTAGACATTCTTTGTCTCCTCAGGGACTACATGGTTTTGGTTAGTGGTCCTCCTGTCTACACCTCTCATGTGGCTGGATTACAGGTGTAAATTATCATTCCCATATTTTGTTTACCAAGATGGAGCCTCACCAACTTTTTACTTGGGCTAATGTTGAACCTCAGAGATCCTCCTGATATCTACCTCTCAAATAGCTGGGGTTATAGGGATATATTACCATGCCTGGCCTACTTTTTGATTTTTGAGACAGATTCTTGATTTTAGTTCAGGCTGGCCTCAAACTCATGCTTCTCCTACCTTAGCCTCCTGAGTGCTAGAATTCCAGAAGTGTATCACCATATCTTGCTTGAATTAATGACAAAATAAGTTAAAATCTGGGACTGCTGGGGATAGAGTGATTGCCTTTTATATTATAAGGAGAACATGAACTTTGGGACTAGTAGTAGAATGCTATAGTTTGGATGGATATGGTTTGAGTATTTTCCTCTAAAGACTGATATATTAAACTTAATTCCCATTCTGAGGTAGTAAACAAAGGGAAACTTAATAAACTATTACAGTGCTTAGAGCTAGGACCTTTGGCAGATGATTAGAGTTAGGTAGGTCTTTAGGGTACAGCCCCAAGATTAAATACTGGTATCTTTATAAGAAGAGAGAGAGAAACTGAAGACAGTGGTCCATTTCTATAATCTCTGCCGCTTGAGAGCATGAGGCAGCCTGGGCTGCCCAGTCACAACGGCTGCTCCGTTTTTGTTGTTGCTGTTGTTCTTTTTTCAGAGGATACCAAAGTATCCTCTCATCTCAAAGACATACTCTGGAAGATGTTTCTTCCAGACATTCTTCAGAGACCTTTCTTACTCATCCAACTTTCTGCTCACATGTCACTGCCTCAGGGAAGTTCTCCCTTATCCCTTTATTATGTCTTTCTCTTCATCTGCTTGTCTTTCTTCAAAACACTTAGCATTTCCTGCTAATATTCTATATTTTACCCAATTACACACTCTGCTATAAAATCTACCATCATACAAATTTATCTGTTTTTTAATATTCAGAGCAATATTTAGAAAACAGCACATAGTAGATCTCAAAAGACATTTGTTGGATAAATAAATGTATGACTCAAAAATATACAAGATCACTTATTTCTTGATTGGATGCTTTGTGAGATTATAACTTTTATGGATTACTGATTTTCTGGAAAAAAAAACTCCACTGCATATGAACTGAATTAATTCTATGTTAATTAAACATAAAGACATTAACTTTGAGATTTAATATACATCAAGCAGTTTTACCTGGTCTTTGAGAAATTTTCTGATATTCCGATGGGCTCGAGAACATTCTGTTAACAGGCTGAGAACTGGAGTCAGACCCTCTCTATAGCTGCTTCCCTATAGAGAAAACCATACATACTAATTAGTTCAGTTTCTAAAAGTATGTTTTTCTCCATGTAATTCCTGCATATGGATATTGTGGGGGGAGGTGGATTTGTTTTACTTTATTAAAGTTTACACACTATGTTTAAAACTATTTTTAACAATATTTCTATTTTTTAAGCTATTTCATGTCCTCCATTTTCTAGAATGTACCCTGGCTCAGCCAACAGGCATCGGTGAGGTGAAGGTCTTGGTGACCCACATATATTATCCTGCTACTTTTTTATATAGTCACCAAACACAGTGAGATACAGCCTAGAGAAAATTCAAAAAACTTAAAACTTAAAAAGGATTTTTAAAAAGATATCTTTAAAGTTATTTTCCCAAGTATCTACACAGAATGGATCTATTTTCAGGCATTAGTCACAAATTTGGTGTTACGAGAACACAATTTTTGGCATTAAACAAATAAGCCTATTTGGTTTCTGTAATTTATCATACGTTACAATAAAATACTTTAAAAAGTAAAATTATATAACAGATCAGCTATAAAATAAAACTGGGATGTGAATATCTCAGTGGTTTGCGTTTGTAAATTGACACATTTACATTCTTTACAACATCTTCCCAAAATTTGCTTACCTTGTCTATTCTCTTCTCCATAAAATTGAGTAAAACATGAATGGCCTCCATATTCATACCATTGTATACCATGGTATTGTTTTTCAAAACTGTTTCTTTCTCAGTTGTTTTATCACTGGGCAGTTCATCTAGAGTTGTTGCCTCTTGGGCTGTTTCTTCATGGGTTAATGGACAAATGAGAACATCCAGACAAGAGACCGGAACATTGCTTAAAAGGTTGACTGCATTGCTGAAAAGCAATTTAGAAATACAATATTTTAATTTCATTGAATAAGTCCTTTAAAATGCAAACACAATAAGAAGTTGATTTTTAAGGAATCAATTAAAATTTTTCTTTTTCAAAATGAGCCATTAATATTACTTGGCATTTACTAAGAGGCAGAAAATAAAGGACAGTCTCAATACACATATGACAAATTAGTAAGACCAGATGTTAAATGGACAGGCAGAGTCACATGATGTCATGTCACTATCTGAACTGCTAAAATGGGAATTAATGAGCTTTAAAGCTAGTTCTTTGATTTTATTTTGACAATAATGCTAAGCTTTGTATTTTCTTCTGGGGGTTTTAATCCTTTCATGGATCCATTGGTGTTTTATTCTTCCTTAGATTACAACATAAAGCATTTGAGAAGTAATGCATATAAGCAGCTTATCACAGAGGCAACAACATTAAAAAACCAAACATTGCAGGATTGAGTTTTGTACAAAATACATTTTTTAAATCATCCATTTTTTTCTAAGACATATGCAGGAATAAGAAAATGGTATTATTTCTCCCCTTCTTATCATTAGGTCTCTTCAAATGAGGCTAACACAGTGATTTCTAATCTCAGTCCCTTAGTCTTTCTGTCATATTTTAAGGAATTCATAAGCCTGGGATGTACACCAGTAGGGGGAACCCACACCTTGTATTTCTGGCCTTCCCTTAAAAACCTTGTTCTGTTGTTCAGTGTACAGATTAAACCCTCACTAACAATTTCAAAATTAAACATGTTCTCACTGAGCACATTTTCTACCATGCATTATTTCATATAAAAAGAGAGGTACTGTTCTATGCTAACTAAATCTTAATTGCCTGTACCTCAGAACTTCCTGATAAACAACAATGGAAAGACAGGCATTACATTTCCTAGTGACAGAGAGGCAGGTCTAAAAATAACCATATCCTGATTAAAAATAAACTGTTGCAGATGCAATTTAAAAGTCTAACCCCTTGGAAACTAAACTCAGGCTTAATCTATCTGACACTGTTTTAACATGGAGCCTAATAGTGAAAAAAAAAAAACCAATTTAGATTTAGATCATAGTGACATAAAACAAATAGAAAATCAGAAAAATGTAACTATGAAATAAAGGCTTCTCTTTCCTTTACTCTGAAGTGAGGTTATACTTCTCCATAGATAAATATTTCCTCTCCTTTTACATTATGGAAAAATAAAGTTAGTAAGAAATCCATTTGAAAAATTAGACAATGCAGAACAATGACTGGTAATGTTTAAATATGGCTAGGTGCCGGTGGCTCATGCCTATAATCTTTGATAATCAGGAAGTTGAGATCTGAAGACTGTAGTTCAAGCCAGCCCAAACAGGAAAGTCTGTTAAGACTCTTGTCTCCAATTTAATCATCAAAAAGCTGGAAGTGGAGTTCTGATTTAAGTAGTAGAGCACTAGCTTTCAGTGGAAAAAGCAAGCTAACAGAGCCTATGCTCTAAGTCCAAGCCCTGGTACAGGCACAAAAAGTAAACAAATAAACTGTAGGCAAAAAGAATTTAGCAAGTTTTATGATTAAATAGTTCCTGACAAATTACAAGTTATGTGGATGTTCTGACTAAAGCCTGCTACTGCTGCTACTATTATTATTACTAAACAAAGTCTCTAAATTTGGCTATTCAAAGGCAAGTGAAATAATACTTTCCTCTAAATTTCTTTTTTCATAATATCTGCAAACCCCTGAAGTTTCTTACAGTTTTAAAATCATTTGTTTTTGACTTACACACTTGGGAATTGTTATTAAATACACTAGATTCATTGGGGGGGTGAGAAGTAAAGAAGGGAAGGGAGAGCGAGAAATAGAGAAACAGAAATAGAGAAAGAACTTTACTTTCTAAAACTACAAGCCATTCTGAAATGTTAGGATTTTTTCCCCTAATAAAAGTCTTTTATTGCCTTTTGGCTCTGGAGTTCTTTAACAGTATGACTCTCTAAATCTACCACAGACACCAGATTGAAAAGTTTAGGATGGGTTATTTCATTACAAAGGAATGTTTCCCTTTTAAATTCATTTAAAGTAAACAGTTTCTAGGAACTCAGTAAATTTAAAAAAACGCAATGTAGCATTGGATTGGCATCAACAAATATTTGGAGGCTTTAGACTTTTCAAGAAAAGTTCCCATTTACTCATTTGTTATTAAATAACTCAGTTCCCAAATAACTACAAAATTAATTTTCTGGCTCACTGTGTTTGTGCTATTCTTTTTTAAGTAAGGAAGGCCAGCTTTTTGAGCTCTGTCACTTCTCTGACAGTTTTATTTGTGGTAGAAGAGTGTATGAAATTCTCCAGCTACCAGGAAGTCAGTGACTATGCACAGATTTGCACAATGGTGTTTGCATTCCTACTCCAGGGGGTAGAAATACTGTGTATATTACTCTCTCCTTTTCAGCTTCCCAGAGATCATTAATCACTGCAACATGACATCCTCCCTGCTCATGCTCCCAGCCCCCTCCTGATATGCAAATTCAAAAGCAAGGCCTAGTTAGAGCTCCTTAATGCCTTGATTAAAGCCTTGTTAGCTGTAGGAAGGAAAGGGCACCTAAATTCTAGTCCTCCATCAATTGCTGCACTAAACATAATTTAACACCAAATGACATTAAGGAGCATGTTAACAGCATATGTAGATTTACATCTATTAACAACTCTTCCTGGCCAAATGCATCTTTTTTTTTTTTATTAATTTGGAGTGTGGTTATCTAATTTCAAGACAGGATAATCGATCAAAACAAATCTTAAGATCTCTGAAAGATTTCTGTTCTTTTTATGTAGAAAACTTTAAAATAATCTTTTTATTTGGGGGTTAACAATACTTCACATAGGATCTACTCCTAAAGCAAATTTTAAGTATATAGAACAGTATTGTTAACTATAGACTATTTTGCACAGCATCATCTCCAGACTTTATTCATTGTATAACTGAAACTTTGTATGCTATGCCTGCTCCCCGTGGCTAGCCCACTCTCACACCCATTCCAGCCCTTGGTAACCATTACTATACTATCTGGCTCTGTAAGTTTCATCACTTTTGATTCCTCATAAAAGTAGAATCATGCAGTATTTGTCCTTTTTTGTATCTGGCTTACTTAAATTTGTTATGTCTTCCACATTCATCTACATTATTGCAAATTACAGAATTTTTTTATTGTGAAAATACCGTATACAGGGGTTACAATTAATTGGGCAAGATAATGAGTACATTTCTTATCAAGCATTGTTGCCTCCTCCTTTGTTTCCCCTTCTTATCCCTTCCCATCTCCCACCCTCTCCCCCTGCAAATTATAGAATTTTAATTTTAATGTCAAGGTGATATACAGCGAGGTTATAGTTACATAAGCAAGACAGTGAGTACATTTCTTATCTAACTTGTTAACTCCACCCTCATTTTTCTCCCTCTTTCCCTCCCCTCCATTTTTATTTATTTTTTTGCCAATCCTGGGCTTGAACTCAGGGCCTAAGTGTTGTCCCTGATCTTTGTGCTCAAGGCTAGCACTCTATTACTTGAACCACAGCGCCACTTCCAGCTTTTTCTGAGTGGTTTATTGGAGATACGAGTCTCAAAGACTTTTCTGCCCAGGCTGGCTTCGAACTGTGATCCTCAGATCTTAGCCTGTAGCTAGAATTACAGGTGTGAACCACTGGCACCTGGCTAGAATTTTTATTTATTTATTTTTATTTTTTTGCCAGTCCTGGGGCTTGAACTCTAGGCCTTGGCACTGTCCTTGAGCTTCTTCTGTTCAAAGCTAGCACTCTACCACCCCAGCCACAGTGCTACTTCTGGCTTTTTCTGTGTATGTGGTACTGAGGAATCAAACCCAGGGCTTCATGCATGCTAGGCAAGCACTCTACCACTAAGCTATATTCCCAGCCCTAGAATTTTGATTTTTAAGGGCTGAATAATATTTTATGTGCATATATGCACAAATGAAACACACACATATATTTTATCCATTCACCTATTGACACATATTTAGGAGACTTTCATTCCAATTAAACACACACACAACACACAACCCCCCCCACCCCACACACACACACAAAAGCTGGAAGTGGAATTGTGCTTCAAGTGGTAGAATACTAGCCTTCAGCAGTCCCAAGACCAGCACAAAAACAAAAAACAAAAAACAAAACCCTATCTTGTGATCTCTTTCTACTCTTGTCTGGAATTGTTCTTCTTTTTTTTGGGGGGGGGTCTAGTCATGGGGCCTGAACTCTGGGCCTAGGTGCTGTCCCTCAGCTCTTCAGCTCAAGGCTAATGCTCTACCACTTGAGCCAAAGCGCCACTTCTGGCTTTTTTCTTTTTGCTTATGTGATGCTGAGGAATCGAACCCAGGGCCTCATGCATGCAAGGCAAGCGCTCTACCACTGAGCCACCTTCCCAGCCCCTGGAATTGTTCTTACATAATATTTATGTCTGTCTCCCCACTTAGGTGTTCATGGGTATACACTGTAGAGTCTTTGGGGCACCTAGTTCAGTGCTCAGCTGCAGTTCAAAGACCTATGTAGGCATAAAACTTTAAATCTCATAGAAGAAAGCACAGCATAATAGCTCCACAACACCAGATTTGGCAATAATTTCTTAGCTGTGACACTAAAGTAGGCAACAAGAGAAAAAAATAACCACAGACAGCACGGTATGAAAAACTTTAAATTGTTAAGCTTCAAAAGTTTCCAAAGGTGGACACTGGCAGCTCATGCCTATAAACCTAGCTACTCAGGAGACTGAGATCTGAGTATCATGTTTTGAAGCCAGCCCATGCAGAGAAGTTTGTGACACCTCATCTCTAATTAACACCCTCCTAAAAAAAAGAAACCCACAAAAAACTGGAAGTGGAGCTGTGACTCAAGATCAAAAGCTCAAGGACAGCACCTAGGCCCTGAGGTCAAGCCCCAGGACAGGCATACACACACCACATTTCCAAAGAACACATGCAAATGGCTAATAAGCATGCAAAAAG